TACTAAACAGTCTGTACGACTGCCAGGGTGGCTGTGAAAACAGCACCTGCTGGTAGCGCCACTCGACAAAGACAGCTGGGTCAACAGCCACTGTGGGAATTTATCAACTTTGGAAGGGGTGGTGTATGTGTGAGAGTAAGGGAGTGAGAAAATGCAACCCTGCTCTCATAAGAGTTAGATACATTGACGGAAAAAAGATAATTATAAAGTCAAATGGCTTGAAAAAAATGACTATAAAGCAAAGGGTTAGGGTAAGAGGATTAGTTAAGGGTGCCCCAGGTGATGTGGTACTAAAAAGTAAAAATAAATAAAAAAGTTTCATAATAAATTCGCATTTCTAGTACCTGAAAAGTGTGGGTGCTTTCTTTCTGATCATTCGTTTGGCCAGTGTAAATGTGTGTGAGCCTGTTAGCCCGCGACGCCTGTTTGATTGACACGATGTATATGTGAGAAAAGCACTGTGGAGTGGTGTACACTGTGCACCCCAACAATGGCTTAATCAAATGACCCCGTGTGGTCTCCTTTGCTGTTTTGTCATCTGACTCCATTGTTTGGGGACTCCTTTTGTAGCTTCGTTCCTTGTTTTAATTGTGCAAGAAATTTACTGTGCATTGTAATAGCAGGGCCATTCAGTGGAACTGGCAAGCAGCTTTGTCAAGAGGAGGGACCCAGTAGAGATGCAGGAAGATTTAAGATGGATAGAAAAAAATAAAGAAAGGCCTTTTTTTTGCAGCGTACTGGGAACTAGTTTACAACACAAACTCACACAACCTTATAGCATGTGAACATGCACTCACCACCCACACAGTTTATATCCATATACACAACTAACATAAGGGAACTCGTTCAGAACACATCCAGTGATTTGTGATTCATGACTAATGGAGTTCGTAAAGGAAGTTCAAGGAACTTATTTAAAGTTAACTGTGTCCAAGTTTTCTGCTAACTGTAAGTCAATCATTCAAGCATGCAACTCTCAAAACTCAAGTGTAAAAATCCGATTATTGTGCTTTCTCTGTTTTCTGTGGTGAGGACAACTTGCATCAAACTGAAAGGCAAGTTGTCCTTAACACCAGAGAGCTTTAGAAGGTCCAGCTCTGTTTTTGACACTACTTATAAAGACCAAATGTAAGAGGAAGGCAAAAGTTTTCCAGCTGTTTGAATGGAGAACAACAATGGCTGTAACTCCAGAATTTTATTCACACAACATAAAATTGCATGCACTGGATAGGCTAATGAAGGGATCTTTGTTAGTATGTGTCTCATACTTAATGCAAATGTTGCATCAGTATTTAGGCAAAAAAAACAAAACAAAACAAAAAAACAAAATTCAGTGCAGGTAATTCATTGTTACATGTTTTTTAAACTGCAAAGCTTCTTGATGTAAATATTATCTGTGTCCACTTTGATTGACGATTTGACGATGTCCATCATTGTGTGCAACAACAATGTGTGACTCCCATTCAAAAGGGGGCGCCAAACACAAAATAGCCAAAAAAGGACAATGAGTGAAAACACAAGCAAGAAAAGAAACGTGTGGCTGTTTTTTTTAGACAATAATGTAAAGAAAGAGTTAATGCTGTCCAAAATCTTATGAATTTCTCACTCATAAAAGGCACAAAATCTGCATTATATTCCTGGTGACAAACCTCCTCATTTATTAGCACCTGTTAGGTAGTGGTGAAAACTGCAGACCCCTGGTTGGAACGCTGTGGAGCAGCTGATCTAAAAATAGCATGAATACGAGTGTGTGCACACGGCTCAAATGGACACTGAGAAACATGCCAAGGTCTTAAGCTATGATCAAACAGCAGTTTTGTTTACATTGAGGGCCACCACTTTGCTCAGTTGCTGTGTACTTGAGTCAAGCACAAGAACAAAATGATTGAAAGAATATCCAGACCCCACAGTTGATCATCTGTTGTATTATTGTTTTGGTGTAAGATGTTACACAAACCACACATACATTTATACCTATTCTTAACCTGTGTGTTAAGAACCTGTGTTAACAACCTGTGCTAACAAGATCCAGTAATTCTAACCTCTAAGGTGCACTTGCTAATAATTAGAAGTCTTGGCACCATATTGTGGTCATTATATACAGATTGTGTAAATCGAAATATTTTTATCCCACTGCTTTACCACAGTCGTTCTCTCTTTCTCTCAAACACACCATTACTCAAACCACACACATTGAAATTGTTTCATAAAACATGGTGGCCTATTTATTATTGGAGGGGCACTCCAACTGACAAACAAATACCCAGAAATGAAGTCATCTGGCCAGGACATGTTTACACAAACACTGCTGAGCGATTTTATGGCTGATGTTCCCTCGTGAACCTTTACCACCCTCCCTGACAGTTCCTCTTTTTCCCCCCTTTAACAGCCTCTGTGTTCTCAAACACCAGTTTGATCAAAACTCGACATTAGAATGCCACACCGGACCACAAAACTCACTTTATTCTGAAACCAATGGGTCTGAGCGACCCGTAGGATCCAGATGGGCTTGTAGTGTGGAGGGGAAAAGATGGGGAGGACCACCAGACTTGATAACATGCTGAGGTCAGACACGTTAGCTAGCCTATTCACTCCTCCCTGTAACAGGATCCTAATAATGAAGCCAGTGTGAATTAGGAGTCAGGACTCCAACACCGCAGGGTCCACACAGACTAAACACATCCAGTTGATGGTGGAAAGAATTGTTCTGTGGGAGAAATGCATCCAGCAGCCATGCCAGAAAACAGAAACACAAAGCAAGCCACCAGGGCCCCCTTTCTAACATCTGTGGTTGAATTAATTGTGCTAATGCCTGGGTGGCACTGTTGTCACCCAGGAATAATCAGCTGCAAATATGTTTCTATTGTGAATGTGAGGCATGGAAATTATTTTTCCCGAGAGTCTGATTCTCCTCTTTGATCTTTTCCTTTTAATCAAATATGACAAAGTTAAGATGCCTAAATCATTTAGGATTTTTCTTTTTATTTCCCACTTGGCCGACTTGAACAGGAGAGTCAGATGCTGTGAGATTTCTCTCACCTGTCTCGTGCAAAATTACTCATTATAAGACAAACGAACTACATTTGAAGCAGTTCAAGTTAACAACTTTTATAGAACTGATTTGGAAAAACAAGGTCTGTTTGTGTTTAAAGTTGTTCTTTTTCTGACATGAACATAAATTTTACACATCCCTTCTATTGTGTAAGATTAGTTTTTATTTTGTTGTAAGAGACAATAGTTATTTTACATGTTTTTGTAGGTTTCTCATTATTAGAATAATTTTTAATGTGAATGCATATGGCATGGATTATAGAGACATGTGTGCACATTAAAATAATAAAACTGTACTCACACATGTTCCCTCCACATTTCAGTCTTTAAAGTCAGAATTACAGTATCAGACTGAACAAGAAGATATCATCACTCACTACAAAACAGATTAGTGCGCACTGATTTAAATGTGCTCCTCTCTGTATTTATAAATTGAATGTGAATTTTAAATTTTGAACATGCTCAGAAAATGTAGGCAGAAAGTTTTTTTAACCATTATTTAACCAGACAAATCCCATTGAGATCGCAGACCTCTTTTGCAAGGGAGGCCTGGGCATGAAGTTTGTTGATATTTTTGATGTTTTGTCTCCAAATAGTCACGGGTGTCTCAAATCCTTCTCAAATTTTTCTCAATTTCAAAGTACTGCATTATGACACCAGCATGGGCGCTCTCCCCTGATACAACATGTCCTGGTTTAAAAGCAAAAATTCCATTGGAACGGGTGCTGGATCAAATATATATTATAGGGAAGAATATTGAAAAGATCTGCAAACCAACTGAGCTCACATTACACAAATTATTAAGTGACTAAAACTGACCCAAATCTGCTGATTTTTATTTCAAAATTGCACTTTATTAGATTAAATCAAGGTGGCAGCTGCCAAGGAGGAAACAAGGTGGGTACACTGCAAAAACTGTCATCTTACCAAGTTTTAAAATCTTATATCCAGCCAAAAAGTCTTTTTGATCTTGTTTTGAGACTGATTTACTAAACAAGAACTGATTGTGTAAGAATAATGATCTTGTTTTCAAAATGTATAAGATTATTTGTCTTGTTAGTCTGAAAATTTGACTCAAATTTCTGCCAATGGAGTAAGAAAATTTTACTTGGTAAGATTCTTAAAATAAGAAAAAAATTGAGTCAAATCAAGCATTTCAACTATTTTTGGCTGGATATAAGATTTTAAAACTTGGTTAGGTGGATATTTTTTGCAGTGTACAACATGAGTGCAGATGGGCAATGAAATAATGAACACAGCCTTGAATGGTTTGGCAAGCCGTGCTCACGAAAATAAGCTGTATTTTAAAAAAAATAAAAGGTTGGCTGTAGAAAACGTGGTTGCTTGGTCACAAATACTTAGAATTTAGTGAAAATTGCAACAGAAAATTTACCCCTTTTTCTTTAATATTGAGTCAACTTTGAATTGCCAGCAAGTCTTTAACGGTCACTGCCCAGTCAGACAGTACCTGTAATCTTTGATAACAGATAAAATTATAAACACTACAGTCCCAATTTCTGCTGATATCTAACAGAAAATTTTAATGACATTTAACCAGTGAATCCATGAAGCTACCAAAGATTTTAATACCAATATTTTGTAACAGTATCCTTCGATTATTCCTCAACATTTATTGGAGCCAATGCAAATGGTTATTTGATGATCTGTCACAGACATGAATTCTCTGGTCACATCGGTATGTGCATGTGGTAAAGACTTAAGACGAAAATGAGAGAGGATGCCTCCATGGTTAGCTGTGATAAACTATCATCTGTGGCTTCTTGAGAGTCAGTAGCAGTGGACAGTGCCAAATCCCGAACAACACACCACAAAACCAAGACAGCATGAAATTAGATGTTTGTCATTCAGAACAAACAGGAATCACTTACTCACTGAGCAAACACTCAGTTCCATTTACCACAATTTACAAAAGTTTTCCTTGGTCGTACCTTTTTGGGTCTACCAGCTTGTAGAGTTTCCCACTGTGTGACTGTGCCATGCTTTTACTGCTCGCCAGGATGTAGACTTCACCTGTAAAAAAGGAAACCGTCACACAGCAATGAGTCATGAGCACTGGCTGCAACAAATGCTTCAATTTGCAGTATACTTGTAGCTCCAAATAAACGAAACAAAGAGACAATACAAGACAAGACACACTAGGACACATGAGGAGATGAAGAAACTGAGCATTGCTAAGGCTTCCACAATGCTATACTTGCCCAAAAAACTTTAAGAAAGGGTTTAACGTGACAATTGGATAGTCATGACTGGGAAACAGGCGGATAATTTAATGAGGAACAAGCCTGGAAGAAAATTCCATACGGACAGAAATTGTAAACATGTGTCTGTGAGGCCCCTGCTTTGGGACATGTCATTCTTGCACTGCTTGTAAACCATGATCAAATGCAGAAATCTTTAAATAGTCCATCAAATAATGAATTCAAGACCTGACAATGACTAAATATCCACATCATGTGTTGTATGATATGCAGGTTATTTTTATGAATTGCATTACTAACCTAGTTCATCTTCTCCAAAACCCAAGATGTGCCCAACAAGGGGAGAAGCGCAGGAGCCAGCAGAGCCCAAACACAAAGCCTTTTCCTGCCACTGTTCCCCGTTTGAGGATGTCGCAAATGCAGACTTCTGAAGGATCCGTAGGTTGCTACGAAAAGCAAAGAAAGACACTGGTCACTAACGTCATTATTAGCTTTTAAACCATAGTAAATGGAACATTTTTTCCAAGACAAACATATTTTCACACTTCTAAATTACACCAGTGACAAGAACAATACTGCCCAAGTTACAGTTGATATCTGAAAACAAGGCCACCTTTAACTTTTTATAATATGGTTCAGTGACCCATCTTCCTTTTTTACCCCATGGCTCAAACAGTATTATACAAGACCTCAGTTTTAGTTTCAAACAAATATTATCCCATCACACAGCTTTTATAATGTGCTTACAGTTTGTAATGAGATATATAATTTACCAACCACAGATTGTTTCAAACACAGTGCCAAGTCCTGATAATGTGCCCACACACTTTTTACTTCCTTTGCTTATTCAAGTGTCAGTGTTTGACATCAGCAAAGTGCAGTGAATTACAAACCAAGGAAAAGTAAGAACAACACCGAGCAGGAAGTCTAATCTCAATTTACACTCAATAGGCTCTTCTGTAGTGCTTATAGTAACACAAAACTTGTTTTCTCTTCTGATGGATGGAACTTTCTGCAGACAATAGCACATTTATGTGAAAGGAATCAACTTTTAACAATGAAAAAAATAACGATGCACAATTTAGAGTGTTAGCTCATATACAATATGTCATTTTCCACTTAATTTTGACTGAATTCAAAACAAATCCATGATGACCGAGCCTTTTTTTGTAGCTGTTTTGTTTCCATCCATCATGGTATTGTTCAAAAATGGGACGTTCTTTGAAAAAAAAAAACCCTTTAAACGTAGATTTCTTTTTTTTTTATCCTTACACGCATCTCACATGTTCATTGCATGTTTGGATGGTTCTCCTTCAAAAATCTACTGTATCCCTTGGCCGCATCACACCTTAGAATGTGTTCCAAAATAATGAACGTCAACTACATTAGGATTTTTCAGATTTTGCTTTGGACTTACCCATTTTTATTTCCAAACACATAACTGCCATAAAGTCTTCTCGACTGGCATCCCCTGTAGATGAACCCCCCCACAGGTGGACTTCCTCCACTGGACTGCAGGTCATAGACAGAGGGCTCATTTTCTAAAAAGAGACAAAGAAGTTGGTCTATTTTAGCCATAAAAGATAACATATATCTGATGACTGCCATTTATTCCTTACTACTTTATATATAGATGCTATATTTGTAATTTACTCATTTACATCTTTTCTGTTTTGTTTTGTTTTTCCCTTACAGGGTCGGTGTTCTGTTTTTGGAACAAAAAAGGTAAAATATGTTTGTTTCATTTTTACAATAAGGAACACATATAACTCTCTATTTAAAAGGTAAGCTGGATGTACAAATGTTATTGTTGTTGTTTTTTTTTTCTTGGTCAGATAAAAACTTAAACCTCTCAGCTGTTTTTTTCAATCACACTGAACAATCATCTTGACGGTCATGATTGTCCATCCATCCATCCATCCATTTTCTGTACACGCTTCTTCCTTTTCAGGGTTGCGTGGGCCACTGGTGCCCATATCCAGCAGTCACAGTGCGAGGGGCGGGGTACACCCTGGACAGGTCGCAAGTCCATCACAGGGCCACACATAGAGACAAACAAGACAAACAACCATTCACTCTCTCACTCACACCTAGGGACAATTTAGAGTTACCAATTAACCTAACAGTCATGTTTTTGGTCTGTGGGAGGAAGCCGGAGTACCCGGAGAGAACCCACGCATGCACGGAGAGAACATGCAAACTCTACCCAGAAAGGTCCCTGGACCGGGATTTGAACTGGTGACCTTCTTGCTGAGAGGCATGATTGTTGACGTCTTTAAATCTAACTTGTGGACACAAACTCTCACATTCTTGGAAATTTCACACTGAGCAAAGGAAGAACATTTCTGGATCATAGTCTCTTCAACCTGGTGTGCCCTTGAATTTGTTGCCATAAAAATGTGTTTTTCGCAAAATGAAAGACATTCATCCAAACAGATGTTATTTTCAGGGCAATAAATATGAAAGGTTATCCGGGAAGTTGATGTCTTTTCATTTTATGTTTAAAATGTCAAACAAAATTCAGGCAAATGTTACACTCACATACTTTTTTTTTTTTACCAGGGGTAATATGATATTGCAAAGCAATGAACTGTTTTCAAATATTAAAAAAGTAAATATTATGACTATTTATTTGAAAATAATATTGTGGAAATTATAACTCACCATAATCCTTTCCTTTAGCAATTTCCAATATTCTTCCTGCCGACGTGTTTCTGCCACTGGCGTCTGTACAGAGGATAACAAGACTCCCATTGTCTGTCTGAAGCCGATCCACTGCACATCTACAAAAAATAATTATTTTTGTAGAAGAAAAGAAGTTGAACTTCGTTGTTAACTGTAACATCCCATTTTATTAAAAAAGAGAATAAAATGAGCACAATGTTTTAAAATTTCTCACACTATTTAAAGAGCAGAACCTAATTGAGGGTAACTATCTGTTATGATGTTGAAGTATCCCATCAGTAGCCCCACTTACCTGCCTGGGTCATGTAATCCATGTGCAAAAATTTCAGGCGGCTGATTAGTGCTGTTAAAGTACGGATTGTCCCGTGGTATAGAATAAGTTGACGTGCACACGTCGGTGTCCACATCCACCCTTAAGATGGATCCTGTGAAATCACTGCGTCCAAAAAACAAACATGTAATGAAACGACCTCACATCGATTGGCCAACGAGAACAAAACTTTAGGATAATGATATTTAAACTCACCTGAGTCCATCCATTTCCTCCATGTCATCCAGAGTGATCATGCCATCTCCCAGAAAGATGTGCAACAAACCATCGGGGGTGAATAAGAGCTGGCCTCCTAAGTGTTTCCTGTGCAGCTCCGCCACTTCCATCAGCACACGCACAGTCCTGGTGTCAACTTGATTTGGGTTTTTCCTGGGAAAGAATAAACTATTGTCATTTATTTCACCATGTAAAAACTGATCTTACTGCATCGCAAAGCATCTGAGGACAACCTACAAAATTTTTTATTATTAGTAGTAAATTTGGTCTTCCAAAACGCTTATTTAGATGGCCTGAAAATGTGTCTTGATTTGTTTGAAGGTCACTGTGCATTTGTGAAAGATGATTTAAGACACGTTTTTTTTAAATGAGCAGATTTGGATCTTCTTTATACTTTAAATAATATTTGCACTGTTGGTAAAACGATAGTGATCGTTTGGATAAGAGATACTGGCACGACATCCAAAAACAAACTTCAACAATGAATGAGTTTAAATACTTTGTTGTCTGGAGACATTTAGTCTAAGTCTCCTGTAATGTCTCAGTAAGACAAAGATGGTGGGTGGAGATAGAACGTGGACTTTAAGAAGTTGCACAGTTTGGTTGAGAATTTGGTTTCACAGTATCAGCAACAAATACGTGATGATAAATTATATGCCATTTGGGGTAGTTGTGAAATTTCTGAAAAGCAGTTTTCCAAAGAAATACTTTTTTCCCCCAAAACTACCATTAAATAATTGTAACTGTCATTTTTCTGCAGAATCCTTACATTACGCTGCACTCACCTGACCGCACGGCAATACTATAATTACAATTAGCCCATTAAGTCAACTGTGATTAAGTAAATTAAAACACAACACTTAAACACGTTCGTGAGTAGAGATTGTTTTCTTAAACATGGGTTATTATGAAAGGAGTGTACAAACATAAGTAAAGGCAAACTGTTGCTATCATAACAGTGTTGCAAATTCTCTTTTTCTATGTTCTTAATTGCTGTAAGACAAAAAAATGTAATTTACTTTCTGATTGCATTATTTGACAGTTATAGAAAAGGTCGATGGGGCTTTTGTTGCTGAGGTTGCTGCCAGTAATATAAACTATAAATTCAAAAATGAATTTATGCTTGAAGAAACGCATGTTCAGCTTTTAATAACGTCAAATCAATAGATTAAAGAATCTTGACGTTTTGTTACTCGTTCCGGCAGTGGTGAACGTTTTAAAGTAGATTTGGTGGCCACGTCGTCATTACCGTGAAACCGTGTATTCGACCACACGTAGGATGTGGTCGTGTGGTCCGATGGCCCAGCGCTCCTGGTTGGTGGTGTAGGAGACGTAGAGCTTGCCATTCTTCTTGTAATTGGGGTGGAATGCCAAGCTTAGTAGGCCCCTTTCATCGCCACTCTGCAGTCAGATGAGAAACACAAAAGATCTAGGAGTTAATTATGTTCCAGCTTGGCTTCTGCTCCTCTGTGTGGGGCTGGAATCACCCCCCTTGGTCATATTCATCATCACTAACATGCCACTGCTGCACCCCCCCACCCCCCCACCCCATTCTTTTTTTTCTTTCTTCTTCTTCAGCTTGTCTAATCCTCTTTTATATTTGTCCATCACATTGCTTTTCACAGTGCAGCTTATTATCTCACTCTCTTTTCCAACTCTGTTGTTCCGCTTCACACCTTCATCGGCCCTCTTGAATATACCATTACCAGCTATTATAAAACATTTGACTCTGGGTAGAGCTGCACCTTCTCTCACGAGCCCTCCTTCCCCGGCCCCCCGACAACCCTCCCAGCGTAGCAGAGGGCTTTCCTACAGCCTGATTATGTGTGCTTGTCCTCAGGGTCGGGGGGCCCTGTGACGCTCAGACCCTCCCGGTGGCCTCCATTGTGCAGTGATTTGTGTGTGTAATCTTTGGGGGATATTTGTGAATACTACGCTGAGTGGCTGAAAGAATTTATTAGCTCACTCACAGTTCATAGAGAGCACAAAAGTGTGGAGTGCTTCGGTCCCTTGCTTTTTGCTCCCCAAATCCCCCTCGCTTTCTCTTGATTCAAACAAAATCCATGCAGAAATCGAGGCTAGGAGGAGAGGGGAGGAAGGAGGGTAGAGTTAAAGTGGGGAGTGAGAGAGAGAGAGAGAGAGAGGGAAAAAAAGGAAAGCTAAACAAGGAGAGAGCTGCCAACTCCCACTGTCTTGGCAACATGTTTAGAAAACATCTAAATTGCTTGTGTAATATGTAAACCTTTGTCTCACCCCGGAGGCAGCTACATCAGTTGTCACTACCCTGGTGGTCTTCCCGTCATAGTTAGCTGTAATAATCAGCTATAGCATTTCATTCCCCAGGCAAGGCAAGCCAGGTCAGCCCGTTCTTGTTGCATTTCACCCATTACTACATTTTTGTCTTGACAAAAGAGCGAACAGAACTCTAATCTAATGTGTGAAAAACATTTGCATTGTCACATTGTAAGCATGTCCCTTTAAAAACAGTTTTATTACTGATATCAAGCTTTTGGAAGGAGTGAGGTTTTTGCAGATTTTAGAGTAAGACAGATACCGGTAAAATCTGATTTTTCAGGTATTTCTTAGCGAAACTTTTCGAAATGAAATGAAGAAAAAAAATTAGACTTTATTTGCACACGCTGTAGAAAGGAGCCGTTTCTGTCACAGGCCAAGACACACGTTATAAACTGGTGAACTAGATGTCTGTTCTGTCTGAACTGTATTCAGCCCAGCTCAATCAAACAGCACTGACAGGGCTAAATGTAAGACATTACAAAAGGAAGGTGAACAACAACACAGACCAAAGCAAGAGATAATAGGAATCTCATATTTTAGAAAATAAATACTGAGATTATTGATGAGCACCCCCACACCACTAAAAAACAACTGTCCTCTGACAAAACGTGCTGTCAGTAATATTAAACGTTAGAATAAAAGGGTGGAAAACCGGAGTGGATTAGTTGAAATCATCTGATCTGTTGGAGCAGACGTGGCTCTCCTTTTCAAAGATTGTTACAGAGTTTCATCTCAGGAGGAGAAAGTCTAAACCTCCTCTTGAAATGCTACATCTATCCGATGGAAATGGTTATGCAGTGACCTACATCCCTTAAATAAACTTGTGATCGACGGGGAGCCAAAGAGGCCGAGATCCGGAGCCAAAAGTGGACCATCGGGGTACGCAGAGGTTTAATGGGCTGAAATATTAGCTTCATTGCTAATGACCAACTCCTGCAGCAGCAGAGAAGCAGCGGAGCTGGAGCTAAAGCCATAGGAAACAAACTTTAGCAAGTCTTCTTTAGTTTGATTAAAATAAGGAAAGTTGTGCCAAACTGAGGTTTCTCAACATGAACAATCCTGTCAAATCTGCTGGAAGTACGATTTGTTTGGTATTGTTCATGTAGAGTGCATAAAACAAGCTTATTTCATAACCTCTTCACAGAACGTTTGCATTAACAGAAGACTGTCTGTTTTTGACAAAACTCCAAAATTACGACATATCTACTCCAACTTTTCTCTCCAGAACATGTTTTTTTGTCATTACAACTGCTATCATTCTTTCAGGCATGGGAGTCTTCCTGAATGTCACACAAGCTATTATCTTTTCATTTTCCCCAAACACATGCCTTTGCATTTTTCTTTTCCCTCCATTTTTTTCCTGTTTATTGGAGCTTCTGTTTTGGCTGTGCTCAACATCTGACATCACTCCACAAAAAGCTGAATCGCAAAGAGAAGTGGTTGTTATCTCAGGGTACAAAATACAGAGTGACAATAAAACATATGGCACAATGAATCTGAGCTCTATACGTGCGTTGATTTATTAACTTAAATATTTCAATCTTCCCCAAGTAGCTCGTGGACACTTAAAACTAAATGAGATGACCTGAACCATGAAGGCAATACCTTTCTTCTACAGAACACTGCCTGCACGCTCTGTAATTACAACCACAAAGAGAAACCTCCACAGGTGACAGTCTACGTGAGTCCTCAGCCAAGCCTAAATCCTCCAACCAACTAAGAATAACATTTAAACCATCCGAGCCATAAAGTTGTTAGATAGCCAACTCCTCCGCTTGCTACATTTTCACAAGTACTCCAGGTTTCACCAGCTTTTAACCCATTGTCAAAGTGAGATCAGAATGAGGGTAGCCCCACCCCACGCTTCAAAACAAAGCAAACAGTAAATTTAGCTTCAGCAGCCCTAAGTATCTGACAGCAGAGACTGAAAGGATAATGAGGTCTAACCTTCATGTGTGAACAGTGAAATATTTTATAGGAGGCCCGCTCAAAGCCTATTACATGAGGTTATTTATGTGACGAGGCCGTCAGCTCTGAGCTGCTGTTCACAAATGTCATCATTCACGTCACACGCAAAAAGCTGAGCAACGAACTGCATTAATAGGTCTGCGGATGTTTATTTCTCGATAAGCTTAATTATGTGACAAACACAACATGTGAGAAATGCAGTGCAATGATTAGTGATTTCACAGAGCTCAGTGTTGGAGCAAACACTGAAGCGTTTTGAACCTGTGAAACAGAGAACTGTTGAGTGTTTTACACAGCTTCGCTGTGAATATGTGAGCCATCACACACAACTGAAAATGATGCCAAGGTTTTCTCAAAATGATCTAAGCACATTCTTAAATTCCTGCCTTTTCAAGATGCATTTTGATACCTGGATCATCCTGATAGCATGAACAGTTCCAGAGATTTGCCTTCCTACTCAGGACAACCCATTGATATTTGGTCTGAATCCTATTTTTAATTTATAATAATAATGATGATGATATTATTATTATTATTATTATTATTATTATTATTATTATTATTATTATTATTATTATTTTATAAAGCGCCTTTCAGGACACCCAAGGACTCTGGGTGGCTTAATTTATTCTAATTATGGATTTTTTTTATGTCCTTTCAAAGAGGAAACCTTAATCAATATTTGGTTATTAAGTTTTACCAGTTGGAATGAAAATGCTTTCCTAGCTCGCAAGAAAACTGGCAAAAAACTTCAGACTTTTCCACTCAAAATCATGTTTTTGTAGCTACGGCTCAAAAATGGGCTTCAGAAAAGATTATATTTCATTTAAACAAGCACCAGATAAAGAGTTTATTCTTTATTTTTTGACAAAATGCAATTGTTGCAAACATTTTAATCAATGCACTAGCGGCCTACTTCTCCACTTTGTGACTTAATCCTCGGTTCGATGTCATGGGTCACTCAGTGCTGTGATTAACTAAGTCGGTGGATATAATGTAACATAACACTGCTCAGACTGTTGACCTATGATTTACTCAACACATTAAAGCTCACAGTGACTGCAGTGGGTGCAGTCAGCTCACCACACCACATCCTGCGATCCAGTTTGATTTCTGAGACGAATTATGAGTTCAGACTACCAAACGTATGTGAAGAAAAGGTCTAGACCACCGTCGAAGTTAGTTTGAGTGAAAACGTTTCATCACAAACCTTTGTTAAATGTAAAACCCATAATGTTTTGCCAGTTTTTGGGCAAACTTCTTCACATCCCAGAACAAACTGGAACACACTTGCCAGTAGCCTAAGCCCGTAAAATGAAGGAAAGGTGCAAGAGGCAAAAAAAGGGGATTGTGGATTAATTTCAAGAGAACACCCACAACGAAGGTAGGAGCCCCTATGCCACCACAACACTCTATTGTTTCTGTGTAGTTTGGCTTAATTGGCACCAGGGGGATCCATAAAAAGAGGTGGATGGAGGAGCAACAGGAAACACAGAACATTACAGTCAAAGCATGTGCATGAGGCTGAAGATAGAGCCGTTATCTGGCCTGCCTCATGATGGTCTGGGCTCCTCTCTCTGTATAAAGCCAGCTCCATCCTGTTGATGCTCCCAGTAAACACCTTTGCCCTTCCCTGGTTCTGTCCACCCCACCACCCCCACCAACTGGGAGCTTGTTCCATCAGCCAACATCACAGAATAGGACTCCTGGGGCTTAGAGGGGCTCGAGCCACATCTAATTGTCATAATATTCCCTTTATCCAAAACCAGTTTGGACTGAATCATGATAAAAGAGCTGAGAAAAGCAGGATGTGCATCCCGCAGGGGGGCAGTTGCATATTCAAATGTTGTGCTCCGTTTGATTCCCTGTAAACGTGGATCTTGTCAGTAGAGGAGTGAGGGACATGCGAGATAGATAAACTTCCTGTCTGGGAGTGTGCCCTCCAAACATTCCAGCTATTCCACCTCCAAATGGAATCTTAGGAATCCCTGAAAAATTTTCAAATTCTAACCCAGTGATTAAGTGAGTGTTTTAAATAGAAAATACTATTCCAGATTCTTTCCCAAGGCTTAAAAGTGTCATAGCGACTGATCACTCAAGTATAGCTTTGTCAAAAAAAGTTACCGGTATTTTATTGACAACATTACAATTTAAACTCAACATACTTAAGTCACTATACTTGATCTTATTATGAGGTTATGTCATTATCATTTTACAAGTATTAGAGAGATTAAGAAAGCAATAATTATTGAATTAGCTTAAAAATCCAGTTAGCACCATGCATTAAACATATGCAGTTATTAAAACTTAACCTCCACCATTTTTTCATTTACATATACAGCAAAATATCATAGAGACATAGCAAATAAATAACTCTGTTCTGTAGCAATAGTTGAAAAGTAACCCAGGCTTGTTTAAAAAACGTATTACTGAAAGAGGTATTAGTGAAATGCACAATTATAATAATATATGGCTGCTTGTTTGGTCTAATTATATAACTGAATGCTATTGAGCATAATTTCAAACAGATTTACCTTGGCTGGAGGCACTGGTGTTTAATAGGTTGTGCATTCCATCAGCCTTGTTTCCTTTTCCCGTTTACATACAGTATGTGTTTAATTCAAAGGCATATTAAGACATTTACTGTTTAATTTAGCAGGATTTCATACGATGAAGGCTGACACTTTCCTACCTTCAGACCGTTCTGCACCAGCTTGTGGAGGTCCAAGAAGGGTTCTTTGATTAGCTCAAGGTTATGATTGAGAATCCTGACGATTCCTTCTCTCTCCAGGACAAAGAGTCGCTGAGAGCCATCACCGCAGTGGACCACAGCCACCGGCTGCCTCAGACCACTCAACACCTCCTGAGCACAGTAGCAGTTGTGTTTGTGCTTCCTGGGTAACATTGGAAAAACAAGAAAAGGTCACAGAATGAGGGAAGCACACCAATTAAAAAGGCACAAAAAGTAAGGAAGATTTTCTTTTATCAAATTATGATTGAACATGCCAGAAGATATAATTTTAACCTCAACAATTTATGACACAGAATGATTTTCCATGGAAAATAATTTGATTAAGACAAATTAAATGGCATTTATATTTCTGTAGATACCCTAGGTGCCACAAAGCAGCAATATAATGCAACGTTTTTCAAAACTCACAGTTTCCTGAATTTGAACAATCAAGTTTTCCCAAAAATGATGCCCAAAATGCAACTGATGATTTGGTTATGACATTCTCATTTAACCCTGCCTTAAGTCATTTATGCGTATGGACTCCTCAAAGGAAGATGAGTTCCTACAAGTGTTGGTTTCTGTAATTCAGGTGGACACGCTTCCTGGACTTCTTGCTTTAAGAAAACTGAAATGTATGTATGCATTTTCACTTCATGTATGTACATGCACACTAAAACACAGTGTAAAGAAATGCAAAGTAAACTTTAAGATTAAAGGGGAAAACTGCAAAATAATAAAATAAAATAAACTTTGTGAAAATATGGATTATGTCATAATAGACCAGAACATCTAATAGACTGTTTGCTTCTTCATAGCATAAAGTCATAATTGAACATTTTGTACCTGAAGTCAGAGGACTGAAAGGTTTACTTAGCTAAACACATAAAAAGTTACTGATTTAAAAATTTGTTTTCTCATATTCTATAAAGCAACTTGGTTCTCTTATTTAAATAAAATGTGGTTGAATTCAGGCTACAAACCTACTGATATCTTCTATTTTCTCATCTTCCAAGTAGTTGGAATCTTGCCCAAGAAGTTGCCGTCGTTGAAAATCTGGAAAACACAAACCGGATCCTCTCCTTCCGTAGTATTGGCAGAATTCATCAACGTCGGCTTGGAACAGTTCTACGAAACACAGTAGATACAAAAACAAAAAAATAAATACTGACTCTACTGTATAGTTTTTCCAGACACATAGTTTAATTCTATACCACATAATTTCTAAACATCTTTAAATTGGCCTCTTGCTCTTCAAAACCTCCTGCTGTTTCCAACGCTCCCACTTCAGCACGTTTTCACAATGATGCTTCACGGGAGAGTGCTCAGTAGAGAGGGAGCTCTGCTGCAGACTGAGCTCCAGGGAGGAGCTTTGTGAAAATAGATGGTGCTTTGTACCAGCAAGCATTTAGGCAGCTCCACGTGGCTATCACAGGAGATTCAAGGATTTCTCACATGCATGAATGAGTCAAAGCAACACTCTGAGTGTGTTTTGATGAGGGAATGACATTATAACATGATATAAAAAGTTTGAAAAAGTTGATTTTGCATAGCACTCGCCCTTTAAAATGACAAATATTTATGCATGTTCCATGTATCTGGCTAAATTAGGATGAAAATTAAATGGTTTGGCATGTATAGTTATTTAGTATTTGAATATCTAAACTGTGAGAGAACTACAAGTGTTTACAAAAGTAGATGAAAGGAGGCAGGGGGAAGATATGCGTACTTCATGTCCCAAATCAATCTATAACAAGCTGAAGATAAGTGAAAGAAATTGGACTAAACATCCTATAAGTAATATGCACTTTTCAGAGAGCAAAAAAAGACTACTTCCTTATTTCAAATGTACATGCTAGCTATTTTTTTTTTGACATGTTGCTTTTGAAGTTGTGGAAAAGTCTAAGTTTGTTTTTTTTCATTAAGTCTATTCTGTATAAAAAATAGACAATAAATGAATGAAATAAGCTTTAATATTCATACTATACTAAGCTCATGCAGTTTCTTAGCATGATGCAATCAGCCACTTCAATTACCCTTCATGCGGATCTGACTGTTTTGCGTTATTGAGCTGCCTGCGGGAACAGCTTGTGAAATCATATAATCAGTTTGTTCAATATGGCATGTCGCTCTGAATAAACGAAATGTTTTCAGGGTGAGATATGTTTATCTCTTAAATTCCAAATCAAGATGGCAAGATGTTGAAGTGCTGACAAGAGGTGATCTACATCAACATCACACACACAGCTTCACCTCCGACCAGCAGTCATAACATTACTCTCAAAGGAAAGCCAAATCTGCAGTGTGTCTCAGAGGCACATTGCGACCTGTAAAACAATTCTGACAATATTCCTCTAGTTTACTTCTCAGAGGACAGAGGAGAGCAAATACCAGTAATAAAAACACAAACAGAACTCGCCCGGTCCCTCCTTTTCATCTCCTCGTGCCGCACACCGCAAAGGGCTGACCGCAGCAAATACTGGAGGTGATAGGATATCTCCTCCAACATCTAAACACAACATGAAGATCAAAGACATGTACAAACACACACATAGCTCACACTATACCACCCACACTCTTATGTATGCAGTTATCTTAACCATGCTGGTCGGGGACCGTAGGTGCAGGATGAAGGAATGGGTGAAAGAAGATATGAGGGAAGTAGGGAAAAAGTGGGAGGCCCTGGGCAGAAATAAGTGTCAAGGCAGTAAATATCTTTATGGAGAAAAGGGGGCCAAGTACAATGGTTAATTAAAAGCCGACAGGAACTTTTAATGGGAGCAGGACTGTAGTTATGGCTGTTGTAAAGGCTACTGTTTCAATTTAAAACCTTTGGCCGCTGATTTTGGTTTAAACAATTGTCCAGTTTTCCTACGTTTCCAACTCACAGAACAAATAAAAAAAAAGTAAAACTGTTCATGCAAAAGAACTCCTTTTAACATCAACAACATTATACTTTCTGTTTTAAAATTCAGTAAAATAAAAGATGAGACCAAAATGAGTGAGTCTGAAGAAAGGGTTTGAGAGGAAGAGACGAAGAGAAACAGAGAAATGGTGTCAGAACTCTGTCCATATTCCTGGCTCCCAGCACTGAAGTTATACTTCCATCTGGTTATCTTCCAAGCCAGCCTGGGTGGCCCACCCAAAGTACTTGACATCTTGATGCACTTCAGCAGTTTTACATACACACAACCTTTGTAGAAAAATAAATGTGTCATTCGTCACCACATATGCTGATCTGTGGTGGGTTGAGAGGAGGAACCGGGGGTGGGTGGGGGGTGGACAGCAGTGGATAGAAGAGGAGAGAAATTCTTCTCTGAATTCCTAACCTCCGCTTTTTTGATTACGTCTGTCTGTCAGTATGTGAGGCAGAACAGAAATCGAACATCAGACAAGTCTTCTTCACCTTCACTCTCTATAATGCGAAGCAGCAGTAGTCAACCTCAACCGTAGCCCAAGAGTTGCGCAATGTATGAGCTATTAGTTGCAGGCGAGGATTTATGCGACTGATATTTGACTTTGACTTACAGCATACCGCATGGGTGGGTTGCAGACAAGTGCGTCTGAAAATGCTTTATTTTTTCGGATCCGAGCCGATCTAATCTATTGGAACAGACAGGGATTGGAAGAGGACGTGGAAAGAGGGGAAAACACAGCCAAAGTGTTTGATCGTGCTTGGTATGCACTGTGGAGTCACAAATACCTGTGATCGTAGAGCCTTCAAAATGAGCTCTTCTGAAAAGCAAATGCTTTAGGGGGCTGAACAGTTGCTATGTAGCAAGCCATACGTACAGGAAAAAAAAAAACAATAAGGCATCAAAGGGTGTTTTCATGCTGGGTGGATGATGATGTGTCTGAGTAAAACTACCCATCTCTTTATTGAATCTTGTAAGCAGAGAACTCCCATAGCAAAGTACAAAACCTGGGTTTTCCATTGACAGGTCTATACTACAACTAGAGTGCTTTTACATTCCAAGTACAAACCCCAGATGTTAAAATTAGTTAATTGATTCTTTTTGCTTGTGTAAGTCAAGTACACTGGTCAGATGGAAATGTTTCTTTGCACATTTTACTACCTTCATAGTTAAATTGCTGCAAACATGTGCCTTTCTATGAAATATGTGCAGAATTTAAACATACAAAAGGCAACAACTCATCTAGCGACATAAAAACAAGTAGAATCTATTCATATGAAGTACATACTGTATATTAATGTGGTTTTTGCTTGGTTTCAATTCAACCTCTAATTGAGTTTTCTGTCTTTAAAGACAAAATGATTTCACTGCAATGACATACTGTACATCTGCTAGGTGGCGAGTGAGGCAGCGAGCAAACAGTAAGACAGCTTCAGCAGCAATTGGAGGTGAGGTCAGATGAGGTAAGAGCTCAAAAAATAAATCTTCACAGATCAGACTACTGACGCACCACTTGCATAAGTCCAGATCACTGCCAGGTCCACATGTGCAAGCATAGTCTCAATAAAGACCTGTGATCATTTCGAACTGTTTACAATAACACACACATTCAGTTCAAATGATTAACAACAGTACATATTCATTTGTCTTCTTTCTGTTTCTGTGGAAATGCTTGTTTGCGCAGCCACCAGGTAGCCACGCAGGCATCGGTTAAAGTTACTTTCACTGTCATTATTAGGGGTGCAATTACCTGGTATGTGCCCCCTGCAGGTGTAATAGAACTCGCGGCAGAAGTCCTGGCAGAGCCGCGGCAGGTCTGGCTCTCTGTGTGGCATCCTGTCCATGTCCAACGAGTGGAACAACACCTGGGCGTTGGGGGAGCAGCGGGCGCACTTGATCTCCTCCAGGAGAAGTCCACATTCTGTGTTGTTAGTGGAGAAAATCTGGAGACCACACACACAAAAAAGAGCCAATACCTAATGAACATTCTGAGTTATTACCTTTCACCTCATGCTTCACATTTTACGAAGAAGTCAGTGAGCACTCTGTGCACTTGGTGACATTATCGTCAAAGATGAGGCTTAAAGTATGGGAACTTTAGAGTTAGTGAGTTCATTATGTTGCACCGACAAATTCTGATAGTTTAGAAAACTAAAAATTTTAAAGGATAAATCCAGTGGTGGGCAGAGCTAATCCAAAAATTAGCTCCGCAATTTCTAAAGCGCTCATGCCATAGAAAAACTAGCGGAAGCTAATTTTAAAGCGCAAGTTCAATTTGACACTTTCTAGCTGGCAACAATTCATGTAGAATATGAACAACACTGCCAATTAGTGGTGTATGAACTCTTTTACAACGTAATTGTACAACCGCCGATTGCTGGGGATGTGATTTCCTGAACGAGACCTTTAGCTCCTGGTGTAAAAATTAAAAAGTTGTTGAGGATTGCTAGTTCGGCTGCTTCTTTGTCTTTTTCTTTTGTTTGTTGTAGTTTTTCATTAAATAAGCATCAATAAAGTAATTTTAAAACTGTTTCTTCGAAAACTGAAGCGATACATTCATTCTGGGTACATGACGGATTTGATTTGTGATGGGAAACGAAAGCATGGAGAACAGGAAACTATCTTCACTTCAAAATAAGAGCTTGGATTTTAAAGTTTTCCATGTAGTTGCTCCAGTTGACCACTAGATGTCAGGCTTCATCAGCATAATATCTTTAAATCATTTCTGAGTCTCTAACCCCAGTACTTTGACCATTTATGCTAAGTATTGAGCTCCAGCGTTTAAACTTTTTTTAGAAAAAGGAGCTCCGATTGTAAAGTAAAATAAATCAATTCATACAAAAGTTTAGTATGGATTACAAACGTTAACTGTTTTTGCTATTGCCTTCCTGCTACATAAGCAGACACATAACATTGTGGGAAATCAGAACCGTGACTGAAAGCAACAGTCAGCAATGATGTATACCTTCTCAATATGTGTGTTTATCTGGGAGGGGTGCTGTTGGATAGATCATGTGTGTTGTGATTCATTGACAGCCATACCTTCTGCTGTTCAAGATAATGATGACTGATAGATAATTAATGGCGGTACTGTATTTTAATTTTTAAAAGTGTAAATCCGCTTATGAATTATAAAAATTAAAAAGACAGCTAAAGCGCAAATGAAAAATTTAGGTAGGCAATTAGCGGATTTGTGCCTTAGTGGGCTGGTGCCCACCACTGGATAGATCTATAAGATGTATTTGATCAGAAATTTCCCTGTGAATTCAAACAGAATTTACATCAAATATAATTTATTTAGACAACCGAACACAAATGTAACTTTATTTATTTGATATAAAAGCTTCAGAATACTTTTCAAGATAGCATCACCCCAGTGCTAACCAGAATGCCATTGATCTGAGTACAAATACAGTTTGTTTGTTTGTGTATATATA